GTGACACCAGTGAGTGAGTGGTGGCACTGGGCACAGTATCCACTGTGAGCCTGACACACCAGCTTTAAGGACACTGACTGCTATTCAATCTATAACAGTGAAAAACATTTTTTGTTTTTAAATGCAAGCTATTGTGACACCAGTGAGTGAGTGGTGGCACTGGGCACAGTATCCACTGTGAGCCTGACACACCCGCTTTAAGGACACTGACTGCTATTCAATCTATAACAGTGAAAAAAGTTTTTTGTTTTTTAATGCAAGCTATTGTGACACCAGTGTGTGGTGGCACTGGGCACAGTATCCACTGTGAGCCTGACACACCCGCTTTAAGGACACTGACTGCTATTCAATCTATAACAGTGAAAAAAGTTTTGGGGTTTTAAATGCAAGCTATTGTGACACCAGTGAGTGAGTGGTGGCACTGGGCACAGTATCCACTGTGAGCCTGACACACCCGCTTTGAGACAACTAACTGCTATTCAATCTATAACAGTGAAAAAAGTTTTTTGTTTTTAAATGCAAGCTATTGTGACACCAGTGAGTGAGTGGTGGCACTGGGCACAGTATCCACTGTGAGCCTGACACACGCTTTGAGACAACTAACTGCTATTCAATCTATAACAGTGAAAAAAGTTTTTTGTTTTTAAATGCAAGCTATTGTGACACCAGTGAGTGAGTGGTGGCACTGGGCACAATATCCACTGTGAGCCTGACACACCCGCTTTGAGACAACTAACTGCTATTCAATCTATAACAGTGAAAAAAGGTTTTTGGTTTTAAATGCAAGCTATTGTGACACCAGTGAGTGAGTGGTGGCACTGGGCACAGTATCCACTGTGAGCCTGACACACCCGCTTTGAGACAACTAACTGCTATTCAATCTATAACAGTGAAAAAAGTTTTTTGGTTTTAAATGCAAGCTATTGTGACACCAGTGAGTGAGTGGTGGCACTGGGCACAGTATCCACTGTGAGCCTGACAAAGACACTTTGAGACAACTAACTGCTATTGAATTTATAACAGTGAAAAAAGTTTTGGGGTTTTTAAATGCACGCTATTGTGACACCAGATATGAGTGGCACTGTAAACTGACAGAGTACACGCTGTAGGGCTGACACACCCGCTTTAAGGACACTGACTGCTATTCAATCTATAACAGTGAAAAAAGTGTTTTGTTTTTTTAAATACAAGCTATTGTGACACCAGATCTAATTAGTGGCACTGGTCAGCGTATCCACTGTTAGCGTAACACACCCGCTTTAAGGACACTGACTGCTATTCAATCTATAACAGTGAAAAAAGTTTTTTGTTTTTAAATGCAAGCTATTGTGACACCAGTGAGTGAGTGGTAGCACTGGGCACAGTATCCACTGTGAGCCTGACACACCCGCTTTAAGACAACTAACTGCTATTCAATCTATAACAGTGAAAAAAGTTTTTTGGTTTTAAATGCAAGCTATTGTGACACCAGTGAGTGAGTGGTGGCACTGGGCACAGTATCCACTGTGAGCCTGACACAGAAGCTGGCAGACAACTAACTGCTATTCAATCTATTATAGTGAAAAAATATATATTTTTTTTAAATGCAAGCTATTGTGACACCAGTGAGTGAGTGGTGGCACTGGGCACAGTATCCACTGTGAGCCTGACACAGAAGCTGGCAGACAACTAACTGCTATTCAATCTATTATAGTGAGAATACAAATTATTATTTTTAAATGCAAGCTATTGTGACACCAGTGAGTGAGTGGTGGCACTGGGCACAGTATCCATTGTGAGCCTGACACAGAAGCTGGCAGGCAGGCAGGCAACTGCAATTACATTACACAGAAAAAAAAAAAAAAGACTGATGTTCTAGCCCTAAAAAGGGCTTTTTGGGGTGCTGTCCTTACAGCAGAGATCAGATGAGTCCTTCAGGACTGTAGTGGACACTGTATACCCTAACCTAGCTATGCATTTCCCTATCTAATCAACAGCAGCTACACTTTCCCTCCTCTCACTAAGCATGCAGTTTAAGAATGAATGTAAAATGGATGCCTTCCAGTAGGTGGGAGGGTCTGCTAGGGAGGGTGTGCTGCTAATTGACTTGAATGTGTCTTCAGACTGTGAGATACAGGGTCAAAGTTTACTCAATGATGACGAATAGGGGGCGGATCGAACCGCGCATATGTTCGCCCGCCGTGGCGAACGTGAACATGCTATGTTCGCCGGGAACTATTCGCCAGCGAACCGTTCGGTGCATCACTAATGGACACACATAGTCACATTCTCCTTTACGCCCTGCAGTAGCTAGGTTACATTTGCCTATTGTCTCTACTCCATATAATCACAAAAACCCTCAGTTCATGGCTCACTCACTTTGCTTGACATGCTACTTGGTTTAATACTGTGTCTAAATCTCTATGTCAAAATGTGACTTACAATCTTTTGTCTCTCAAGCCAATGAGCTGAAAAAAAAGAAAGAATTGAAAAATGTTTTAATTTATATTAGTAATTTTTGGATTGACCATGAGATTTACAACTTATTTTTACTAGTAAGGCACCATCTAGCATGTTAAGTATTGCTCTTTCCCAAACTTAAGATGGCTGCCTGGACTTCAGCTGTATCAGACAGCTCTATGAACTTTGAAAGAACACATGACGCAATTGCACAGGTGCGTCGTTACGTCTGCGTGATGACATGATCTTAGTTTTCGATGGAGGCCCTGAAATGATATCCAAAGCTACAGTTGACATGAGCTTCCAAACCTATGGTGACCAAACCAACCCACAAAGTCATCGACTGCTACTGGAGAGATGCAGTGTCTCTTAGAAACTCAGTCTGCTGCAGGGAAGTGATACAGACTACAAAGTCACATCCTGCCACTGAGGAGCTCAATCTAATAGTAGGAATGAGGGATGCCCTCAGCAGGTCCTGGCTGAGATACACTGCTTCAGATGACTTCGTGTCACTCCTGAACGCAAACGGACATGGAGAGGAGCAGGCTGATGGACATGCGAGAGGTGACCAACTGGGGCGCTGACAGGGTGGGACTAACCGGGGCGGAGTCTGGGGAAGTGGATGTTGACCGGACAGCGGAGATATTCACCCGCCTCCCTTTCTCTCTCCAACTACCTCCACTTCTACCCCCCTCTCCTCACCTCTCTACACCCCCTGTTCCCGAACCTTACCCCACACGAACATACCTCACAAGGGACCCACACAGACACCCAGATGTACAAATATGGAAAGGGATCCCTGGCAATTACTGACCACAAATGTGACAAGCCCTCACACCTACACACCACAGCACTAGGCCCCGGGACAGACATCTCAGACGCTTCACCCACGACCCACCAGACGATGGGTGCACAATACGACACGCGAGCAGACCACATAGACAAGTAGCCCTCTGACTACTTTATCACGTGTAACCTAAAGACGGCAAGAAAACGATAATCACATCTGACATGACCCAATAATATAATGCAGGGCTACCCACATTGCAGTAAGCAATTACACAAACGACTCACAGGCACGGCCACATACACATGTGCAGACGATGGCCACGGCACGAAAAGCTCACACCAGGTTGCTATTTAGACAACGGCACGTCCCGCGCTATATACCATAATAACTCTATACACAACCTATGCCGCACCAACCATAACCACACACTACATACAACAATGAGCCAGAAGCCTGTACCTCGGGTAACAAACAATTTAGGAAAGTCATACTAAAAAAGAAAACGTATACTATACATACGTAGATCTGTACCTATATGCATTGTTGTATTGATGATTACTGCTATATGGCGATGCAATATCTGGCCTCTGCGAAGGCACATGCAAGCTCACCATAAAATTGCCATGATAAGCTTCTGCGTAGGCTACAGTGCAACTATTTGCACCCTTGCTATATGCTGGTTAGACTGTTACCAACAAAATAAAAAACTATTTAAAACAAACAGCAACTAGATGCATACTTGTAAAAACAAAAAATTCAAGGATATAATATTTCAATGTAGGGTAATAGCTGCTTGATCGAAGGATTAATCTGACTGCCATTCTAAGGTCAAGAAGAATTTTTTTTCCTAGTTTGTTGCAAAATTGGAAGTGCTTCAAACTTACTCAATTACTTTACTAATGCCAGGAAAAGAACAAATAAAATGTACGTTTCCAACCATTTTTTAAAAATTAATACAGATACCAAGATATCTCAAAGATTTTGGCAAATAGGCATACTCCAAATATCCCGATAATTATTGAAAATGATCAAGTGGAATTTGTAGCACATAACACAAGGAACATGTTTTAAACATTTTCACAATTTAAAAAAATCTTGATTCATTTGCTATCTTTCTTTAGATGCTGAGAAGGTATTTCATACATTTGTGAGAGTTCTGCATTCTCTCTTTACAGTGAGAATGTATAACTTTTATTAGTATTATTATTATTTATATAATCAATAGAACTAGACAGGGGAAAAAATTATCTCTGCTGTTGTTTGTGATTGACTTGGAGCCATTTGATTAGATATTCCCAGGGTATTAAGAGCATTACAATTACTGGATAAGGGTATAATAGCTGACATCAATGTTCCCACAATAACAAAAAAACAAAACACATATCTCAGTAATGTGGATTAATGTCTTATTTTAAATGTACAAACCATAGAGAGAATAACACCAAAATACTATATACATATATACCCCAAAAAATCAAATAGATGTTGGAAGCACCACATATGGTAGAACTGTAAATACAAAAAAAAACAACTAAAGCATTGTCAAAAAAACAAGCTATTTGGGGGCGGAACCTAACTGCTGAGCTGACTCTAAAGAGCTCTGGGACAACTGAGCTAATATTCTTAATTTTCTTGACTAAAATCGACTTTTGACTTTTGACTACCACTTCTGGGAGCTTCAGCCTATCTTGGTTCAACGGAATTCTGACTCTCTGTTATTTGAGGTGACCACCCCGGAACATACCCCACCCCCTTCCTCCCTGCTGGTCAGGGTAATTCCTGCTGGCCACCAGGCCATTTATGAACCTACTAAAAAATCCACTATGGAACACCAACCCCCAAAAAAGTATAGTGATGTAGTAAAAGAAGGCACACAAAGAAAATACCTAGATAAAACCTTAGATAACCACAACACCACACATTCCCCGAAAGGAAGGCATATTACTACACATCATGAAATAAGAAATCATAGTAGAAGTATTTCTCCACCTCCAGATACCCCACCTTCACCTTCTTTTTTTCAGAGAGATCTCATCCAAAACAGAAGGAAACCGACAGACAGCACTCAATTTTGGGAAATATCAGGGAAAAGAAAACGTTCACTCGAAGAAGGAGAAAGAGAAGAAAGAGGGAAGCAACACAGAGAGAAGACAGGGAAGACCTCAATTTAGAAGAGGTTTTTAACCTTACTGGTCAATCCCTTAGAAAAGAACAGACTAGTATTTTTAAATAGGCCTAAAGTTTGCCCCGACTGCTGATTTTAACTCCTTTGATTTTTTTGTGGATATGAATCTTTTTATAAGAACACTATGCCTTAAGAAATTTTTCAGCAACAAAGAGGAAAATCAACCAACAATGGAAGAAGATGAATATTTCCACACATCTCTTAAGGAAAAATCAAAATTCTTCCCTAGGCACCTTATTTCAAGTGAAATAAAATCATTTGAAACAATGGTAATGAAGGATGTGGAGAAACTCAAAAAAACTAATAAATATCAACATAACCTAACGCTAGGTGAGAAAAAAGCCCTGCGAAACATAAAAAATTATGATAACGTAATAGTTAAACCAGCCGATAAGGGAGTATAGTGATCCAAAATAAGGATCAATATGTTAGAGAAGCAGAAAGAATTCTCTCAGTCCCCTCCACCTACCAGAAATTAAACTTATAATCCAACACAAGACACAATTACGATTTTTAAAGAATACATAAAGAAAGGGAAATATTTAGGAATTCTTAATGACAAGGAAGCAGAGTATATGCTAGTAGACAACCCGAAAATACCAGTCTTTTACATCTTACCAAAGGTCCATAAGAATATAGAAAATCCACCGGGAAGACCTATCATATCTGGCATAGACTCTATTTCCACAAGAATCTCAGAATACATAGATCATTTACTTCAACCAATAGTCATCAAAAATCCTTCCTATCTTAAGGACACCATCCATATTTTACAGATTTTAGAAGAAATAAAATGGGTGGAAGGATATCGAATGGTCACATGTAATGTAACCTCCTTGTATAGTATCATCCCACACGACAAAGGAGTATCAGCAGTCAAATATTTATTAGAAAAATCTAATTTTAAGATGGAACAAATTAATTTTATTTTAGAAGGAATTTTACTCATTTTAACTAACAATTATTTTTGGTTTGAGAATACATTTTATCTTCAGAGCTGTGGTACGACGATGGGCACCAAGTTCGCCCCAAGTTATGCCAATCTTAAGGCATTCTGGGAAGAAACATTTGTGTTACAGGGCAACAGATGAGGGGCGAACTTGGTGTCCTATCGCCGATTCATAGACGATATCTTTTTCATATGGACCGATACCACGGAAGCAAGCCAGTATTTTATGTCATATTTAAACACTAATGACTATGGGATCAACCTAACAAGCCACGATAGTGAATTGGATATCGAGTTTTTAGACCTACATATAAGTATCCATGAGTCAACAATAATAACCAAAAATTAGTTTAAACCTGTTGACGCAAACAGTTACATTGAAAAAACAAGTTGTCATTATAACCCATGGCTCAATAATGCCCCTAAAAGTCAATTTTTAAGAATTCGACGTAACTGCAAATTAGTTTCTGATTACTTTGAACAGGCTAACTACATCAAAAATCTATTTATTGAAAAGGGTTATGATAAAATAATTTTAGAGAAAGAAGTAGAGGAAATAGGTACAAAAAAAAGAAAAAAATCTTATACAATATAAGCAAAATAAAAAAAACAACTCAGACAAATGAAATCCCTTTTATTTGTAATTTTAATGGACAAAATGGACAGATACAAAAAATTATCAAAAAACACTGGCACTTGTTAAAGGATGACCCCATTTTAAATAAGAGTTTACCTTCAAAACCAAAAATAACATATAGAGGAGCCAAGAATTTTAAAAGTATTTTAGTTAAAAGTCATTTAACCCCCAAAAAGACAAAGCACTTTATCCAAGATTTAAAGGATTTCATGGACAACAAAAAGTAAAAAGAGACATCTAAAGGACATAGAGAATATAATTAAAAAACCGTATACTATTAATGACCATTTAACCTGCCATTCAAAGGGCATTATATATATTTTAAAATGCCCGTGCAATTTATTTTATATAGGCAGAACCATTCGACCCCTGAAAGTGAAGATTGCCGAGCACATTAGAAATATAAAAAACAGCTTAGAAACTCACAGTGTGTCATTACATTTTAAACAGGTCCATAATCAAAATCCTGAAAACTTGTTTTTTTGTACAATAAAAGAAGTAAAAAGGGACTGGAGTGGGGGTAATTATATATATATATATATTAAAATACTAGGAAAAGAAGAAATGAGTTTTATTTTTCGTTTTAAGACTCTTATTCCTTATGGTCTTAACTCCGACTTTGAAGTCTGTCATTTTAAATTATATATCCCAATAAAATCCTTCTTAAATTTTAAAAAATTGTGATCCTTGTCTGCAGATAGCACGGTCCTCTAGGGTAAACAACAGGCACAGTCCTTTGGTTTTCATGTAATCCAGGCAGTTTTATTGTTAAACTCCACCACAGCTACAGCAGCAAATGAAAAAAACAACAACACAAATCCCTATAAACAAAAGCCTAGCTCGTCTGAGCACTAACTAACATCAGATTCCCTCTCTCTCAGGGGTTAAACTAGAACAAAATAATATTTGGGTTCACCAACCTAGTGCCTTTGTCAGATCTCTGCACTCCACACTCGGTTAGCATGTGGCTTCCATTCCTTCTAGAAATAAACAGAATTTTCTCTCTTTTCCGCACTCCAAGTGCTCCAAGCCAGCCTTGACTGCTTTCCTTTTGCACTCCCAGTGCTCAGTCTCCTTGACTCTCTCACTGGAGAGAATAGCCTCTCTCCAACCTGCTTCCAGGGAGGAAGCCAGCAATCCCCCTTTTTATCTGCATAGCAGGGAGGGGTTTATTCCCACTGCTACAGCTGATTATCAAATTGATACACACACACTCTTACTCACTCACATTCACTGACACACACATTTACTGACACACACTCACTCACATTCACTGACAAACACACACACACATTTTCCCTCAACACTCACAATTATTACTATTTTGTAAAATGTAAATTTACCCAACCTCCATACTTTTGGAAGAGCTGGGCCGATTATTTACCTGAGGTACAGTGGGGAGAGATGCCGGGTGTGCGGGCTGGCAGGCTTGTGGGTAGGCAGGCTGGCACTAAGCTGTCAGCGAGCGAGCTGTGATCTCCCTGTTCAGCTCCCTCGCGCGCCGCAAAGTGATGCTGGGAGCTGGAATGATGTCATCTGCGAGGGAGCTGAGCAGAGAGAGCTCAGGGGAGAGTGCTTCTCGCCGCCCGACTGGAAAACAATGGCTGCCTGCCCTGGGGAGTGGGGGGTGGAGGTTGCCAGCCAGCCAGCTCTTGGGCCCCCATAAAACGAGACTAACAAGGCATTAGCCTGGACATTTGGAGGCGGCGGTTTTTGCCGCCTCCTGAAAAGTGCCACCCAAGGCAAATGCCTTGTTATCCTTGCGGTACATACAGCCCTAAACAGATGCCAGATTTGCTTTTACAGCTTGTCAACAATAATCTTTACTGACCAGGCACTCATGTAAATGTTATGCTTTTACTACTCTTTTCAGTGACTATACCTTCTTTGCATTGTGATATTCTTGTTTTATTCTAATTTATCCTTTAAAATGTACAGTCTATTGTTCTACTTGCTCGATATCACTCTCCTTCTTGATGCATATACTGTACATAAGCAACCTTCCTGATGTATTAATGCACACCAAAAAAAAAAGAATTATAAAAAGGAAAATACGCTATGGATGCATGTAGCATGTTATAGATGACTGATGTAATAAGTAGTATTCTACATAAAATGTGAATACTTTTAATAAAATAAGTGAACATATAATATGCACAATTTAGTTGACTTATATTTTCAGGATAGAAGTGGAGATACTCACATTCACATTAAAGGACACCACAATGAGTATAAAGAACTTATGTAGTTTACAGATTGGCTTGACTCTCCTCCTGTTCGCCTTTCTTAATTATCTTAAAGTTGAGCTTTCTCCTGCAGACATGGGAGCAATGTTTGGAGTAAGCAGTTCTTCCTAAGGGAACAAACTACATTTGCAGTATCAGAATATCAGCTGTTACATGCTTTTTACATAGGTCTTCTTTTCATCACAATGTTCCTCATACATGAAGTCTAGGCAGACTCTTGCTATACATACTGGGATCTAGCCCTCTCTCCATTGCTTTACCCTGCAGGTGGTGACAGCTCTCTTACTGCTCCATCTTCAGTAGTAACAAGCTGCCCCAGTCACTCTACTCTTCTGTGTCAAATCTGTTTGCGGTATAGCCATATATGTTTGCTTACTCTTTTAATCATATTACTCTCTTCCATCCATACTCCATTATTCTTACTGCATCCCATCCTATTATTCATATTTACATAATCACTAAACTATCCTATAGTTAACACCAAAATTATCTTATCTGCGATTACTAACCTAAGTGCTCATCCACTAATCACTTAACATTCCCCACTAATCTCCTATCTCTAGTTTCTAAAAAGAACTGAAAAGAAAGGAAACAAAAAATAAAACTCAAACCAAAAGTTGAAAGGGGTAAGGCTTTGGGATGAAAGGTGGATAAGGGTGTAAAAGGGAAGTAGAAAAATAAATGAGCTTGTAGTAAAAACAGCATGGGATAAGGGAAGACTATCTACTAATTGTGTAGTCAGTGGAGATTCACCTTGAGACACGCTTCACAAAAATTCTTGGAGGCTTTTTCATGCCCCTATTCCAATTGAGTAATATTCAGAATATTAGCAGAAGTAGCAAGTTGTAAAGGATAATCTGCACTAGAAAATGATTCTATCCTGGGGACAGAGCTTTGCCGTGGACCTGAATGGCAGCATCTTCCCTGAGCTCTGTGAAGGAAACCCCAAAAAAGCTGTATTGACGTGAGATAACTTGCAAAACTGAAGATACCAGACACGTGTCGACATGGGTTGAAAAAAATTGAAAACACAGATCAGATAAGAGCCTGCCAGCCCGGGACATCAGTGATTTATTCCACAGCTCACAGAGGGCCACATGGGACAATATGGCGCACCTCAATGGGGAATCCTCATGCTCCTTAAAGAATCTTCT